GCTTGTGTTCCCTCTCTCGCTGTGTCTCTCTCTGTCAAATAAATAAATAAATAAAATCTTTAAAAAAAAAAACAGAACTAATACCTAGTGCAAACCTACACAATAGAAATTGGGTGGTAAATTTTATTGCAATAAAAAATACCTAACAACATAAAGGGCCACTGTTACGGTATTCATTTAATTCACAAGGAAATTGTAAAAATTTAATTTAAAAAGGAAGAAAAATCCAGTGCACACATTTATATAAAAATGTATTTGTTTACCTCCTTAACAAAACTGACAGTACGAAGCTTCCTTTGCATGTTACAATGACATGTGATAAAGGTATATGCTTCTGTCGAACCAAACATTTACCCTTCGCCACTGGTGAAAGGCAACAAGATCTCTTTACAAAGCCTCGTCTTTTTCAATAAATTTTGCATGAAAACATGTTATACTGGCACAAAGTTGCCTGCTGTCACATTCGAAGTGTGATAAATGTTTAATGAAAACAACACCACACAGCTTGGTGTCAGACAACAGCTATCACACAGCCCTGCTTTGATCCAAACAGACACTTAAAAGGAGTTCTAAGCACGCTCTGCACCACAGAACGCTATAACCTATATGCAAATAGGGGTAAATTAGCATAAATGACTTCCTGCTGCATAAAGAAATAAGAGGTAAGGAAAAATATGACAGCATCTAAGAGTATGTAACTGCTGTCAAAACTCAGAGTCCAGCATTCCCAAATCACTTCAACATCTTCTGCCAAGCACTAGGTAGAAAAGATCTCATCAACTGAAACTTAGTGCATGAAACTCTACAACTGAAGACTCTGGAACACTGCCAGGTCAAAGCCATAACCAACAGTACATCTCTAAAATATGATTACTACATGGTACTATATTTCTTATACACACTGCTTGTAATACTTCTAGTTTTTTAAGTATAGTTATCCCCATTTTACAGAAGAATAAATTAAGGCTCAAAGAGAATAACTTATCCTATAATGAAAAAAATTGTAAATGATTTAAAATGAGCAAAAATTATATTTTTTCTGCAACTTAATTTACCTTTCCCAGAATCTAAATACCTTAGCACACTTTTAAATGTGTGTGTGGGTGCCTATATTTCAGAATACTACATGTTCAAAGGCAGTAATTCCTATGAACAAAAAGTATATGCTGCTTCTGTTGATAAGCTTTCAGTGCTTTTAGTCTATAAAGACATACCTGAAATAGTTTTGATATAACTTCTAATTACACTGCATAGTAAACTTTTTAATGAAAGATTTTATAAACAGGTAATATACAGGCTATGAAGCCCAATTTCACTGCTGTCCCAGTAGCTTCTAATATATTTTCAGAAAGGTTTAAAGACAATTGATGTAGTGGGAGTCACACTTCAGTATAAGAAATTCTATTTAAACATATTCCCCTTCCATTACCCACCAAAAAGAACTGCTTCAGTTGTTCAGATATGAATTCCTATGTCCACTGGGAAATACTTAACTCTCTCTAAAAGCACAAAGGTTTAAAAAGTTATATAAAGAAAGAAAAGAAAAAAAGTATAAACTCAAGTTTTCAAGCAAAATATTCTAGAAATCTTGATGGGCACATTTCTGAAAACAATATCCATCTACTGAAAAGTCAATAGGGGGTTAATAACTGAAAGCCTTTCATAGTACCACATCTAAAGGAGAATATGTTCAGGAATACTAAATTAGATTCCTGATGAATTCCAAAGTTACTCAAATTAAGAAAGTATTTTACTAGGCAATAACTGATTTAAACAAAATTTTCCTGGCTAGTGATTTAAATCCTGATAGAAAATAGATTGAAATCAAATCCATCCAAATTCTACTCTTAAGGATGGCACTATGATTTAAAATAAACAGTACAAGGGGGGAGAAGCAAGATGGCGGAGGAGCAGGAGACCTAAATTTCGTCTGGTCCCAGGAATTCAGCTAGATAGGTATCAAACCATTTTGAACACCTACAAACTCAACAGGAGATCGAAGAAAAGAACAGCAACAACTGTATAAACAGAAAAGCAACCACTTTCTGGAAGGTAGGACGTATGGAGAAGTGAATCTGAAGCAATATACAGGAAGACAGATGGGGGAGGGAGCTGGCTACCAGCAACTGATAGAACAGCGAAGCACAAAATCAGAACTTTTAGAAGTCTGCTCCCCTGAGGGATGTCACTCCAGTGGCTAAGCGGGGGGTGGAACCCTCGCTGGGACAGTGTGGTCTAAGGACCCTTGGGGTCACAGAAAGACCAGGGGAGCCTGAGTGTGGCAGAGCTCCCAGTTATCAGAGCGGGGAAGCCGGCTGCAAAGACAGAGTGAAGGAGTGGGCTCTCAGCTCAGGTTGCCATAAACTGTGATCTGTGGCACAGTCGGGCCACTGCTCTTAGAGCAGGGACTCAACTAGCGGCAGATCCAGGGAGACTCCCCTTCCTGCCCCGGGATGAGTGGCGTGGTAGCGCACCGCAGGAATCTGCTGGGTTTGGAGACACCAAACAGGTCCTGTGCCAGAGACAGAAATGCTCTGTCACAGGCCAGGTGAGCACAGAGTGCAGCCGGAGACCGGGGAGAAAGGAATGACTGACTGCTTTTCTCTGAGGGCTCACTGAGGAGTGGGGCCCTGAGTTCTTGGCTCCTCTGGGGCCAGAGATTGAAGGGCCGCCATATTGACTCTCGTTCTCCAAAGCTGTACAGAAAGCTTTCAGGGAACAAAAGCTACCAAGAGCAAACCCAAACAGATTACATAGCCTAGCCCCTGGCAATGGCGGGGCAATTCCGCCTGGGCAAAGATATTTGAGAATCACTGCAACAGGCCCCTCCCCCAGAATATCAGCAAGAACATACAGCCAAGACCAAGTTTACCCATCAATGAGAACTACAAAACTCCAGCGCGAGGCGGAATACAGCACATAGAATTCATGGCTTTTTCCCCATGATTCTTTAGTCTTTCAAAGTGAATTTTTAAAATTTTCTTTATTTTTTTCTTTTTCTTCTTCCCTTTTTTCAACCAACATCCTTTTAAAATCTTTTTTAAATTTCATTTTTACATTCAGATTTTATCCCTTCATTGTATTTAACCTTATTTTTTGTATATATATAAGTTCTTCTTTAAAATTTTGGGATACGGTTTCTTCTAACAGAACAAAATATACCCTAAATCTAGTGTATGATGTTGTCCTAGTCTCCTACCTAATCACATTCTTTCTTTTTTTTTGAATTTTTTCATTCTTTTTTTAACCAACTACTTATCAATTCCTTTTTTAAAATCTTTTTAAATTTTCATCTATAAAATCATATTCCATCCCTTCATTGTATTTACCCTTATTTCTGTATATATGTAAGTTTTTAATTCTTTAAAATTTTGGGAGCCAATTTCTTCCAACAGACCAAAATACAACCAAAATCTAGTGTTTGGCTCTGTTCTATTCACCAGCCTGATCATAATTTTAATTTTTTTATATTTCCCTTTCTTTTCCCCCTGATGTCGGGTCTCTTCTGATTTGCTTAGTGTATATTTCTCTGAGGTCGTTGTTACCCTGTTAGCATTTTGTTGTCTCATTCATCTGTTCTCCTCTGGACAAAATGACAAGACAGTAAAATTCACCTCAAAAAAAAAAAAAAAAGAAGAGGCAGTACCGACTGCCAGGGACCTAATCAATATGGACATTAGTAAGATGTCAGAACTAGAGTTCAGAATGACGATTATAAAGATACTAGCTGGGCTTTAAAAAAGCACAGAAGATACTAGAGAATCCCTTTCTGGAGAAATAAAAGAACTAAAATCTAACCAAGTCGAAATCAAAAAGGCTATTAATGAGGTGCAATAAAAAATGGAGGCTCTAGGGGGGGAGTCAGAGGGGGAGATGAACCTTGAGAGACTATGGACTCTGAGAAACAAACTGAGGGTTCCAGAGGGGAGGGGGGTGGGGGGATGGGTTAGCCTGGTGATGGGTATTAAAGAAGGCACGTATTGAATGGAGCACTGGCTGTTATATGCAAACAATGAATCATGGAACACTACATCAAAAACTAATGATGTAATATATGGTGATTAACATAACATAATAAAGTAAAATTTTAAAAAATGGAGGCTCTAACTGCTAAGATAAATAAGGCAGAAGAGAGAATTAGTGATATAGAAGACCAAATGATGGAGAATAAGAAGCTGAGAAAAAGAGAGATAAACTACTGGATCACAAGGGGAGAATTCAAGAGATAAGTGATACCATAAAGCAAAACACCATTAGAATAATTGGGATTCCAGAAGAAGAAGAAAGAGAGAGAGGGGCAGAAGGTATATTGGAGCAAATTATAACAGAGAACTTCCCTAAATTGGGGAAGGAAACA